CTTTTTTGTTTAAAGAAACGTTGCTTTTTAGCTGTTTTATTTCTGTTTTTCCTGGAAACAACGATGTGTAGAGTACAATGCGGGATACTGAATTATTGTTGAGGGATCTTGCGCGCCGCTCGGAAAGTTTATCTCGAACTGCCTCACGCCCGAGTGATTTTTTCAATAATTCGCGAATGTCGACTAAGTGTAAATCGCTAATCTCTGCGCACAGTCTTCCGCCGTTTTCCCTCTCTGTCTCTCTCTCTCTCTTTTCTCGCTTCTTCGATAATCTATTTTTTAACTTCTCTTGATGACGAATTGATCGACGACCGGCTACGTGAGTTTCCAAGTTCTTATCGAGTTTCTAGAAACTTTCGATATCTCCAAGTTCATTTGTACGAATCTCTTTCTCTGCTTTTGTAAAGTATAAACGCGCGCACACACACCCACACACATATATTATTTCTCTTCACTATTGATGTAATATTCGCGTCACTGTATTATTCCGATAAAATTTAATCGTGAAATAAACCGTAAGTAAAACCGATTGAGCTAAAAATTGCAAGAGAGAGTTAATTAATGAACGAATGAATTAACTACGGCTAACTGCGGCTTGCACACGAATAAGTTAATATTAAATATCTTGCTTTTTAATACATTAATTTTCTAATAGAATGAATTTCATGTAATATAGAGTTTTTTTTTTATAAATATTTGAAAAACATTATTCTGTATAATTTATTTGATTTCACTTCGAACGTTCGAGAAAAAAACTCCACGAGAATATTGCCGCAAACCCACCCTTCTCCACGTGATTAGGAAAATTAATCATTAATCTCTCACTTTCCACCCGTTATATCTGTGTGGATATTTTTCAATTTCCAGCGCTGTGTGTGTGTGTTGAATCGATGTTGCGATATAAGAAAAAAAACAAAGCCAAACGGAGAATAAATTTCGATCTCGCGGATTTTATCGCGATCGCCGAGATAGAGCAAGGACAATAATCTGATCCCGTTCGGGGAGAGAAGAGGGGGGAGGGGAGTCGATCTCCCGGGGTGGTTGGCGGGTCGGTTTCGTGTGGCTAAATGCTATCGTTTCTCTTTCCGTTCCCTTTACCTCCCGCTCAGGCGTCTTCTTTTCGGGGCAATCGGCCCTTCTTTTGCTTGGAGAGAAGTCCGCGCAGTTTACGGGAAATACGAGAGTATTACATATCTCGGCTGCGCCGCCGGGTCGAGCTTTAATCCGCTCTTATTTCCCGGAATCGTTCCCCCGCGGCGCGATTTTTATGACAAGATCGTAGCGTACGTATAGGGACATTAAATGTATTTGTTGCTGCCGCGGGCGTTCGCGAAAAAAAGAAGCGAGCAGGCGGTCGCGTAAAGAATGTCCCGCGAGTCGCGTAATATGATATTCCCCGCGGGCTCGTAAGACTTCGAGGTATACAAGTTATATATTTGTTGTTTCCTCCGACTTGAATAAATTACAAACAGGCGAGAATTTTACGTACGTAACTAATTTAACGTCGCGGATAAGCGGACAAGAAAAATTAGAAAAATTTCTCCCTCCCCTCTCTCCCTCATCTCTCGTTCTTCTGGTGGTAGTAATCTTAAATGATTTTTCTACATCAATCTCTGTGTATAATCCCTTCTTTCCCGGGTTACTTTTCATCGGCAGTACATCTCATTACACGTTGGAAATTCCTTCCGCGTCTTCGAGGCTCGCGCGAGGAAAACACAAAAAGCTCTCTCTCTCTCTCTCTCTCTGTCTCTCCGGGCTGACGTTCTTCCTGAAATTGAAAGTAATCGTGTTGTATAATACCGGTATGCGCAAACTTTGCCGCGTCTCGTTAAATAAAGTGAAGAATGCGTGACGTTCGGCTATTAAAATAATCGCAGTCGGGAGGAACAGGTGCGCATCGACGTTACTACCCTGCGCCCATGTAATGAACGAGCTTCGGCTCGCGGAGTATCGCTTCGCTCGGAGGCGCACCTTGAGAAAGGGAGGAGAGAGAGAGAGAGAGAGAGAGGATTATAGTTACTTCCGTTTTCCCTTTTCGCGCGCGGTGTCCTTTTGAGCGAGCTTCGCCGAAACGGCGCGAGCGACGCGGCGGGAACGGTAATTAATTAGTAATTATATCAGCGGCTGTGCCCCGGAAAAAGCCAGTCTGGCTGCGCGCGCTCGCGAAATGGCCGGTTGCCTCTGTCGACGAGAAACTCTCTCTCTCTCTCTCTCTCTCCCCTCCCCCCTCCCCCCTCCCCCTGTCCCTTCCGATAACTTTGCTTTCTGACCTAACTCCAATTTCCGTTAATTATATCGTGGCTACCTGCTTCTTCCTCCCTGTGTGTGTTCCGTACTCCACCCTTTTCTCAACTTTCTTTCGCTGAGTTCTTTCCCCCTCCCCCGTTTTTTTTTTTTTTTATTTTCCTTAATTCTTTCTCTCATCCCGCGCCATCTGGCGAGAGATCCCGCACAAAGGACTCGCGTACGTGCTTATATCGTGCGTGTCGCGCGTATTATGTCTGTAATTTTATATACACGGAAAGAAAAGTTAGCTGATTAAGAGAGAAGGAAATGGAATACAAATCAAATGTCATGTGTGTAAGGTTTTAAAAGATACACCACTACATTTCGTTAAAAAGAAACGTGTATTTCTCTTTCTTTCTGTTTTTTTTTCTCTCTCTCTCTCTCTCAAATTTGATTATTGCTTAATGAAGATCTCAACGTTAATGACCTAAGAGAGACGACGACAACCAGCAGCAGCAGCAGCAGCTGTAAACGTATCTTGATGTAACTGAAGACGCAATCGCAACTGAAAACAACATCGCAGTCATGCGATACATCTGCTATTAGGCACTGACAACTACGAGAGGGGGGATACTCGATACGCGCATTGCGGAGTTCTCCGAGTATAATCTACGGGAGAGAGATGCGTTGAAAATTAAGAGCCGCCGCGCGGTAATGGCCGAACGTGTTCAGAACCAATCCGGTCTCTCCGTCTGCGGATAGAAATCAGAGAGAGAGAGAGAGAGAGAGGAATTTCCGTTCGCGCATCGACGCATTGGTATCAAAGATACTGGCGCGCGCACATGCGTGCAGTACCGTTTTCTATGTCTCTTTTTTTACGCGTTACCTACACACATGTTTGCTCTCTTCTCGCGAGTCGATTAATAAATCCCATCCGCTCTCTCCGCGCCGTTTCCATCGAGGAGAGTTCGCGCGGGGTTTGAAAAACACGACAGAGTCGCGGGAAAGAGCGAGTCGGTATCTTCTTTAGTGAATTCGCGAGATTCCTCGTCGTCCCGTGTTCGTCTTCTTCTTCTCTCTTTTTCCGGCTCGGTCCCGTCCTCCCTCCCTCCCACCCTTCCTTCCACCCTCCGTCCGTCGATTCTCCGCTCATCCGGGATTCCGAAACACTTGGACTTATTAAATGCAAAATGCTTCCAGCAAACAATGCTTAATCGCAACGTCGCTCCGCGTTGTAATCCGCTCGCTGCTACACAGACGGCGGATGTAAGAGAAAGAAAAGTAGAAGCGAGAGAATGTGAAAAAGAGAGAGAGAGAGAGAGAGACGGAGAAAGAATGAGAAGCGGGAACGATCGCGCGACGAGAGAAGAAGAGAATCAACGAGAAGGCTCTCTCGCCCGCTCGCGTATTTCCACGATAATCCGATCTCTCTAAGGAGATTCTCCATTTTTACAACTTCGTTTGAGCTCGCGGCGGACTCCGTTGCCGACGGGCATTCGAAATATTCGCGGAATCTCGGATTTACGTTTCGCGGCCCATAGAAAACCGGAAAGACGCTCGTCCAAAGGGAAGGGAGAGAGAGAGAGAAAAGACTTTTGCGCGCGTGCGAGGCAGTGGCGCGGAGCAAAACTCAGGTCAGGAATTATTTTGCAGATTTTTTTTTTTTGTGTTTCGATTATTTAAAAGCGTATTAGAACTCCGACAATTTTTTTCATGCGTCGAGTTGTTTGTTTTATGATGAAAAAATTTTGCAGAAAAAAAAAACAACAAATGGAAGAGAAGCGAAGTAGTTTTGACGAACAACGTTTTGTCAAATACAAATTTTCTCGTCTCGCCGAATGTTACGCTGATGCGTAGACAGATCTAATTTCGAAACAAATATTTCAAATACCTTCCATACGCAAAGGCGTGCGTTTAAAAAAAAAAAAAAAAAAACCCGGTCCACATCTGCGTGCAAAACTCGCAGATAAAAACTCGCAGATAAACTTTATTTGAGTTTGCGATTTAAATTCCTTGCGCTCATTAAATTTGCAATTAAATTTCTTTCGAGACAATGAATTAAAATTAATTTCTGTTAATATCTAAAATATTAGCACACTTTCTATCTCTCTTTGCAATTTAGTGTATTTTCTTCTTTTAATTCGAAAAGAAACACGGACTTTTCAGTTACTACAATCGCCGTGTTCGTGTGTTTCGCAAGAAATGAGAAAATAATCCGGCAAAGCCGCGCTACATTTTCCGCGAGTTCAAGGGGAGTGGGCGGGCGGAAAGAAAGAAACGCTGGTTACAATTGTTTCATTACGTTCCTTTTGGCCAGATTGTTGAAACAGTAACCCTGACGCGTACAAGCCCGCCGGCTGTTCGTCGGCGATTCGCTGAAAAATAATATACCTACCGCGGTCGCGTGGATTGTTTCGCGTTTTGCCGTAGCAGACGCGCCGGCGTTTCAGAGAGAGAGCCGGTCCTCAGATTAAAATTCGAAAACTTCCTGAGCGCGGGAGAGCAAGCAAGTTGAATCGCCTATCGCTCGCAGGCAGTTTGAAATCATCCCCTCTCCGTCTGTTTTCTGTTCTCAGGCTGCACGTTCCCGGAGGAGTGGTATGGCCGTTGGTTCCAGTCGGGGAATACGGAGCTGGTGACCGTCAACGGCTCCGAAATCACCAGCAAGGGCTTCTGCATCGAGAAAAACGGCGACAAGTTTCTCGTTCACGACACGTGAGTGTTCACGCTCGTTTGAATTGCAAGTGGAGTTTCGGCCGGACGATATGAAACGATAGTATAGCACTCTATCCTTTTATATACTCGCTCCTTTCTCTCTCTCTTTCTCTCTCTTTCGCTTCCGTCTGCCCGCCATTCCGTAGTCGTTCCCGTTGCTCCTGTACTCTCGCGCCCCCGCGCTTGCTCCCTTCTTTCCAGCTTTTATTAATTAACTGCCGTCCGACAAAGCGCTCGAGGCGACGTGCCAGCCAAGAGAGAGGGAGAGAGAGTGAGAGAAAGAGAGAGAGAGAGAGTGAGGGGGAGAAAGGGAGAGCAGCTGCCGTATAAAACGTTTCTCCTGAAATTTCATCCGTGAAACCGGAGCAGGGGGATGGCTTTGAGATCGAAGAGAACGGGTGATCCGCCCCGGTATCGCGCATTGCGCGTGTACTCGTGTGTATGTGTGTGTGTGTGTGTGTGTGTATCTATATATTGTATATACATATATCTATACCTATGCGTGTATATCGATATATACCTTTTCCATCCGCGGCGTTTGCGCGAGTGGTGGTGGGATTTACGACAAATGCGCGAGTGTGGTACGCGAGCATATGACTAAATGTTAAATAGAAACCTGCTCGTGAACGAACGGCCGAGAGAGAGAGAGAGAGAGAGAGAGAGAGAGAGGAGAGCGAGCGAGCCGGCGAATATCCCCGTCCCATGGCCCACCGGGGCCGTGCGAAAAAGCTGCGCTTTCCAGTTAGTTATAAGGCTATGTGTAAGTTATAATTACGATCGCTGCAGCGCTAACTATTGCGCGCGGCAGAATTACTTTCGGAGAGTTTCTCTTCGGAACTTTAAACAGCTCATTTTACGAGAAGCGAGCTGCGAGCGGAATGACATTTTATATCCGGTGTTAAATCATACGTGCTGCGCGCCGAGATCTACATGTATCCCAATTCAAAATTGAAATAGAAGAAGACCAGATTCGAGAGAGAAAGAGAGAGAGAGAGACATTGTTTTGGATCGCTCAACGCGATTGTTCGGAGATATAATTTTTTTTCTGATTTTGAAACCGAGAAAACGGCTTTCAGTTTTTTATTCCACGAAAGTCCAAATAAAAAACAAAAAAAAAAAAAACACATTATCCAACGTTTTCTTCGAAGAAACTTTCGATATGTAACGAGATTATCGTGCCGCGCTCTCTCTCTCTCTGTGTTTCTCCACTTATCGTGCCGCCAGGTAGAAAAATAATTGAAACGGCGAGTTTCCGAGGTCCGGTCACGTTATAGAAAAGAAAACATTTTTCGCGGACTTCGTTCGATCTCACGTGCCTTCCGTCCGTATAACCAGAATTCTCTCCCTGTGTATTTCCATTTGCACACGGTTTCCGCAAAATCCGCACGTCGCACGTCGATCCGCATGTTATATTTCGGTCGGGGCGGGGGGGAGGGGGGGGGGTAGGAGATAGATCGCGCACACGCCCGTCTGTCTGTGTATCCTGATCGTACCGGCAGCTCTTCTAGTCAAACACGATCTTTTATCCGCCCGCGATCAAATTACAAAAAACGATATCGCGCGGCCCGCGCGCCGCGAACAGAGTAAAGTTTTCCGCGGGATCGGGAATTACTCGCGACTGAGAAACGGTCCGAATCGGTTCGTTCTCGCTCCGAGCGAGAGTTGCTTTGTTGCAGCCCTGCCGCAGAAAACCCAATTAATTTTGTTTGATCGGCACTTTTTCCAATTTTGTGTCTGCGCCGATCGTCCGCCGACTATATCCGCCCCCTTCTCCCTTCCCCGTCCCTCCGACCGTCGTATATATATTACTCATCGAGGATAAAGTTAAATCGCGGCTCGCTTCGGCCGCGGATAATATGGCGCGATACGCACATACATGCGAGATGTGGTCTCGCGATAGAGAACGCTCGTATAACTTGGATTTAAAAAATTTTCAATTTCCGAATAAGTTAATCTTTCGCGGACAGATTGGGTCTCCCGGACCCAGCTAAAAAAATTTCAAACCTAGGTGTCTCTGGTAGTAGTTTTCTTTTTTTTTTAAACGCTTATATCTTCGGAAATATTAGATGTTTTTTTAATGTTTTTTTTTAAAACGACGCAGAATCGTTCAAACTTTCGATTCGACAAAAGAAATTGAAAAAATATTGACTTTTCGCGGAGATATTTGATTTTAAAGTCGCGCGAGTTTCGCGGACGCAGTCTGTCTCTGTTCAACTGGTGAAAGCGTTTTCGGAGTCTGTCCGCGAAGGGATTAATTCTAGTATAGTTGCTCCGAAAGATACTCGGTATCTCTCGGATCCGTATTTTATCGTGAATTACATTCGCGAACATCGTTTCGCTTGATCAACGTACGACCATAATCGTAACATTAGCGGGCGAAGAAGCTGTTTTTCGAGGTCATTATCGACTCTCTCATCTTCGTGAAGATGAATGCACGAGCGCGGAAAAATAAACGGTCGGACCGCTACGATAACACATTTCGAGAACGATCAATTCCCCCACGTCGATATCGCGCGCACGATCGAACATTGAATAAATACTATTATCGCCGAGTGTAACGTTATTTATATATTCGCCATCCGTTCGACTTTTTTTTTTTTTTTTTTTCGGCTTCGCCGATATCACGCTCGAATTGGGTCGAGCAAGGATTTTAACGGATGGACAAAGCGCTTTCATCAATACATGCGAATAATTATCAATGCATGCAAATCTTTTGTGTGGAACGAACGGTTCTCGGAATATAACATGAGAAGCTTTTTTTTATCTCGTCACATGTCTTTGAAATATAGAATTATTGTAATGTATAACAAACCGTGATATAAATAAATTTAATAACGAAACACACGCGCGCGCGGTCAGAAAAGAAATTTGATGAAGTGTATGTTTTTTATTTTTCAATTTTAACAACTCAGTTTTTATATATACTTGAAGATTCTCAGACGACTATCCAATTAAAAATTCGGTGTATACTTTAAACTTTTAGAGTCTTCGCCGAGTCTCGGCGAGCTTCATAGGGACATAGGGAAAATATAAAGTAGATGTTGAATTGAAGCTAATTCCCAAACGGTATCCATTTAAAAGTGTTATCTCTCGGGAACGACTTTTGAAAGCAAAAGTCTGAGGTAGTTTGAAACACACAAACTCTCGAAATCAAATCTTGAAACGTAAGGCATAAAAAATTTTTTTTTAAATTATCGGATTAAAAAAACATTTCAAGTGCAAGTGGTTACTTTAAATTGCTTTAATAGTTAATTAATTTTTTGCGAGAAAGTTTGGGAAATATTTGAGAGCATCGAAAAGGATAAACAAAAAGATCGAAGCGAGTTTTAGTCGTTTGTTTACCCGCGAAAAGATGTCGGGCGCGATGGCGTGTCTTATCGTTTTATTCATAATATCCGCGTTATTGGAAGCAGCCGTGATTTTCCTTGGGAGAAGCGATCGCATATGTGGATAGATAGACGAGGGAAGTAATTGATCGGAGAACGATAAGAGAGAGAGAGAGAGAGAGAGAGACGAGCGAGCGCGCAAGATGGAAGGAAGAAAAGGACAACACGGATGGCACGGCGGGTGACGTGGAAGCCGAGCGGAGTTGAGAGCTAAGTTTTAATTAATGTAATGGAGAGTAGCGCGTGATTAGCCTCCCAATCAGCACACTCCTTCCGCCACCGGCTTCGGTTAGAAACGGGGATGAAGCGTATCGAGAGTCTCGGAAAAATAAACGAAGACAAAATTTGCGATAAGAAAATACGAGAAGAAAATGAAAATACGCGAAATACGCGTATTTTATTTTACAGAAAAAAACTGTTTATAAAATATCACAAGAGAAATATTGTTTTTTGTTTACCGTTGCACTGACATGTAACAAATATTGTCATAATACATTGATATTGTAAAATTGACAAATTTTAAAAAACTAAAGTTAATTCTTCGCGGACAGACTGGTTCTCCCAGACCCACTAAAAAATTTCAGATCTGGTGTCTCTCCAGTAAAAATTAGTTTTTTTTTTTTTTTAACGCTTATATCTTCAAAAATACTAGAGATTTTTTCATATTTTTTTTTATCGACGCAGAATTGTTCAAACTTTTGATTAAAAAAAAAAACAAAATTGAAAAACTATTGATTTCTCGCGGAGATATTCGGTTTGAAAGTCGCGTGGGTCTTACAGACCCAGTCTGTTTAACTAGGCGTTTATAGAATCTGTCCTTGGGTTAATACTGTAAAGAAAAAAAAATAAAATCAAAATGTCAAGGCCATTACAAGCCGATGTAGGTACAGGTGCTTCGTGTGTGCAAGTTATCACTTTACTGACATGTTTCAATTCATTGGTTGGAATTTTCTTCAATGATTAATAAAAAAAAGTTAAAATATTAAATTTTGAAGAGATTAACAGCAATATACACTACGTAATTTTACAAGTCACTAAAAAACTACAAGCGACGAAATCACTTCACGAAGACATAATACGAAAAAAGAAAACAAAATGCTGACATCTTGTACGTATGTATAAGTTTCGGATATTAATATGTAGAGATTATTTGTTTAATGCAGATCACGGTGCGCGGGAATTTGCGAACGACTAAATTGTTTGCGTAATGCGCATCTAATTATACGGTTCTGCATTAATGGATCGTATGGGTGGAAGCGTCACAGTTTGTTTGTTGTTGGTAACATGGATGTTATCAAACTGGCGGTAACTTGCTTATCTTAAGATAACTAATCTAGTGTTACGTAATTCGAACTTTGTAGCCGAGACGATAATTATGAGAAAATTTCGTCTCGATAACGAGCGTTTGTACACACACACACACACACACATACACACACACATACGCGAAAAAGAAAATACTTTATTTACGTTCATTTGAAATGCATTCGCGATGATTCAATTGCCGTCCGTGTTCGATCAATCATCGTCGCATCATGTTTTATAATGAACAATCCGGCCAGGCCGGGCACAAACATTTTGCACATAATATTTTACGACGCAAGTCCGACATAT